TTTATTGTGTCCCTGCCAGAGGATTGGGCAGGAAGCTATAATGTACCATACTTTCATGACAGGCTGTTTAATGTTTAGTTAACTTCTTTTTTAATTGGGAATAATGACTAGGTACTATATCTTATAGTCTAACCCAAATCTTATTTAAAAGGCTTTACCCTAAAAACAAAGACAAAGAAATACCACACCATTGGTTTTAAATTGGAAAGTATTGGCTCGGCATCTGTGGCTCAAGTGGCTAAGGCGCCAGCCACATACATCTAAGGTGGCAGGTTCAAATCCAGCCCCAGCCCACCAAAACAACAATGACGGCTGCAACCAAAAAATAACCGGGCGTTGTGGTGGGCACCTGTGGTCCCAGCTACTTGGGAGGCAGAGGCAGGAGACTCACTTGAGCCTAGTAGTTGGAGGTTGCTGTGAGCTGTGATGCCACGGCACTCTACCCAGGGGGACAGCTTGAGGCTCTGTCTCAAAATAAATAAATAAATAAAAAATAAATTGGAAAGTATTGTAGTATTGTAGTGGTCTTAATTCATAATCACTGTTTTGGAATTTTTCCTCAGTGTATAATAATGAATTAAGCCTTATAATGGTAATTTAATTCATTATTTCATCGAAAGGAATAGTTACTACATAATCCAAAATAGTTTCAAGGTGTCATATGATTACACAATGAGTTTCCATTTATAACTCATGATACAGGCAGGTGTTTTATGCCTTTGAGTTAGCAGATATTTTGTAGTCAGAATGAGTGGAACCAAATTGTTTTCTGATGTTATGTCAAGAAAATGCCTTCTTTCTAAGCAAAGAAGTTGAAAATTCTTCCTTTTCTGAGCAGAGAAGTTCATTTTCTTTGCCTCAAATACAGCCATATGCACTTATCGATGTATTCCTTGGGATAATTTTTATGGTCATGAATGTGATTTCTGTTTCTTAAATCCACTTGAAAGATGTCCCCAGCCCTTCCCCTGGGGCAGGCCGTAGAAGGCCTTGGTGGCCAGCTGTCAGGGCTTACAGTCTGTGGCCAAGCTCAGTTCACACATTGAGAACACAGGAGTCATTTTAGAATCTGAGCATCACACAGCAAGACCTGGCATCCAGACACTGGGAGGTTACAGGTTCACAGGGCATGGGAGGGTCCCAGCATTGGGAGTGTGGAGGGGTTTGGCTCACGTCTAGAATAGCCCAGAAAGGACCCATGCAGTGGGCCCCTTAGTCATGGGTTCAGACTGCTTTCTAGGAGGGTCCCAACTGTGGGCTCCAGCCAGCTGTGTGTGGCTCTTTGCAATGCAAATGCCTCTCCTGGTCTCATTTTATACCAAAAGGACTTTGTAGGGGTGATTTTCTTTTAAGAACTATAGTAAAGAGGATTAGATTAGAAAAGGATTTCTATAATAATATATTCACAATCTGGGTATGTATTCTTTAAACCATATTAGAAACCCTTTAACAGGGCTTTATTGGAAAGTCTAACTGATGTCTAAGGGAGTAAAACAGTTAAATAATGACATCACCTAACATGCATGTAAACACACCATGTGCCAAGTTCCTCTTTGAGCACGTCAGCATATGATAACTTATGCAACCCCATGTGAGGGGCGTTATTGCTGCTCCATTTTATAGACACTTACGTTCCTGGCCTAAGATCAACAGCTCCCAAGTCCTAGACTTTTTAACACAGGGCTGCACCACAGACTATATGGTGTGTGTGTTGGGATGCAGGGTTGCTGGTCTGGCTAGAAGAAAGCCTTATATGTTGATGAGAGTAGATGGGCAGGGGAGGGGAGCCCAGACAGGCTAGCTGCTATCAGGCCTAGAGGGCCTGCTTGCCCACCTTCCCCATCATCTAGGCTCTTCCTTTGCATGGACGGGTAAAGGGTTAATATTTCCTCATTTGGGGTCAGGTTTGTCCTCACGGGGCACAGATACCCCTGTCTGTCATGCTGACTGTGGACACCAGGCCTTTCATTCCCTGCTCCTTTCAAAGCCCCTGTCTGTGTGGGAAGGTGACATGGCCACACAGACGCTCCCTACTGCTGCTCAGCCAGCTCCAGAAGATGTTGGGTGTGCACTCCCAGGCCTGAGCATGTGAGACGGCCAGTTGCCATAGCAGTCCTCTAGAATAATGACCAGAGAGGTGGAAGGGGCCTTCCAAACTTTTAGCCAACTCATTTTGTACATCCTAGATCTCTAGAGAGATTAAATCATGATACGTAGCATTTATTGAGAGTTTACCATGTGTGGGGCACTTTGGCAAACAAGTCGTATGTTTTGATTTACATGTTGTTCCACAAACTCTACTAGTCCCTCTATTTAAGTACTGTTATCCCTATCTCAGTGACAAAGACAGACAGGTGAGTCCCATGCCCAGCATCACACTGCTCAGAAGGTGGAGGCTCTGGAAGTCCAGTCGTGGCTCCTTAGCCTCAGGCTCAGGCAGGAAGGACGTGAATCCCATCCGTCTACAAGAAGCAGGCCCTAGAAGCAGTACCTGGCCCAGGGTTCCCACAGGGCCTCCAAGGATTGGCTCCTATAGCCACGTGGCATAGCCACCACCTACCTCTGCCTCCCAGCAACAGTTTTGTCATTTAGACAGCTTCGGAAGCCACTGTGACATCTGGTGCAAGGCGGTGTTGTCAGCAGCCTTGACACTACTGGTCAGCCCATGCTCTGCCAGGCTGCTTAGTACTCCAGTAACCTCACACTTGTCTGGAAAACTTCTCTTCAGCCCTTACCACCTTTGATCCCTTGAGGCACCTGTTTCCCTCTTTTCCTCAAGGAACTAGGTATTTTTCAGGTGGCGTCAAGAATCCATGAGGTAGAAGGAAATGAGAGCCAGATCTGACCCACTCCTGCCCATGTGGAGGGCTGATGTGCAGCTGTCAGAGTTGATGATCGTGAGCAGGCCTGCCAGGAAGCACCGCGCTGTATGCCTGCCACAAACTGGGGAGGAAACAAAAATAGCTTTGAAGGAACACTCTAGTAACAAATCACCTCAAAAATCACCAGTTAATTTTGTTTAGAACAGTTTCAAAACACAAAAGGACTGTGAATTTAAAGGGGCAGGGCCATATTTTGTCATTAGAAAAATTAAAAAAAATGTTTCCCTTCCCCTCATCCCCCCCCCCCCCCCCCCCCCCCCCCTACCCACCCCCCCGTAGTACTTGGATTTGAGTGAATGAGTTCCTGTATGTTGGAGTAATTACATGTTTTTCATAGATACTAGAATTAAGTATTGTAACTATTGACTTGACATTTAACATAGCTGACACTTTCAAACTCAAAAGTGAAATACTCATTCTCTTAAATAGCCTTTTTGATGCCAGATTAAAAGGGCCATAAACAGGGCTATGTCAGCTGCCAGCAAATCAGCCCTGCAGGGAGTTTCCCAGTACTTCCGCCCTGCCTGAAGCTTTGCCCACCTATTTTCTGACCTGCAGGTCTAGGGTGAGCAGAGGTCACTTGTATCTATTGAGCAGCTGTGCTGAGAGCCAGGGCCCTGGAGTGTGAGGCTCTGTGCTGGGCTCAGGTCCTGGAGGTACAGGGACAGCCCCACCCAGGGAGGAAGACAGGCCCCTGGACAAGGAAAGAAATGTAGGATGGGCTGAATACAGGAGAGCTTTTTAACAAGGGCAAGGACATAAGAGAAAGTGATTCATCTTCTCTGGAGAGTCACATCTCTAAGAAAGTACCTAGGCTTAGTTTTGAGCTGTTCTCTGTATTTGGCTGGGGCAGAGATGAAGGGAACAGCTCGAGCCCTAAAATATGAGTGGGAGGGCTTCTCCCTTATCCCAGAGGAAGACCCTCTTGGTGGTGATGAGAGGAAAATTCCTCTCTTCCACCGATTCTTCAGAGATTAAAGTCAGTGGTGTTTTACTCCACGATGGGTATTAACACCCTCTTAGGAATCTGTGTGTGTGACGGCAGATAGGAGGCTGCCCACACACAAGGCTCAGGTTCTGGATTTCTCATGACTGCTCAGACCCTTAAAGTAAATGACTATAGAAACAATAGAAGCTGATATGCTTGCTCAGAGAAACTACTGACCTCTTGGTTCCCTTTCTCAGTTTACCCTCTGGGCTGATGAGCAAACAGCCTTCAATAAAAACTGAGTGATACTGACACTCAGGGCCCGTCAGAACCCCACAAGCAGGCCGTGGTCTCCTGTTCTCCTACCTTTGAAAACTCTTCTCTGTGTGTCTTGTCTCTTTGTCCCTCGTCATTTCTAACTCTACATTTCCCCAGTTGATCCCCGCCAGATCCATAGCTCTTAACATACGCTGCCCTGGGGTGGGACCCCAGCAGCTCTCCCATGGTGAGTTCCAGGCGCTTCTATCCTTTTCTTCAGCCTATCAAGTTGGTGCAAATGGCCAGAGGAACAGCTGTCAGCTCTGCTGAGGTCACTCAGTTATATGAGGAACTCCTGTCCCTGGTGCCAGGGGGGCCATCCTCACCCTGCCTGAGCAATGGGAAACACGACTCCTCAGGCTTAGGGTCTGCTGAGTAGTGCAATGGCCAGGCAAGGCCAGGAAGTCCGAGGGCCCCAAGGCCAGCTCAGCAAAGCCACCCATTTCCCCTTTCAATCCAGACTCTTCCCCATGTCAGACCTTTCTCCATTTAAAAAATAGTGGAGATACTAGAGGCAGAAAATAAGCCTGGAACGGAGAATAGCAGGCAGGTAGGTCACCAGGGCAGAGACACAAGCTCCGGTGCTATTGCAGCCACATGGCAGATATCAGCTTGCATGCTTTGAGTACAGACCCTCAAGATGGAGACTCCAAGCCATCAGCAACACAGCTGTACTTTGGGATTTTTCAGGATTTTTTTTTCTTCCTAAAGTAGGATGTTTCTTACACGAGTGCTCCCGATCTCCCAGCGATGCCCCACTGTTCCATGCTGCAAGCAGGGGGCTCAGCCACTTCCTGGAGGGTAGAGCAATGTTTTCTTGCCTAAATTCCATCTGATGTTTTTGTGTTTTGAATGTGTTTGTTTCCCCACAGTTTGAACAAGAAAATCAGCGACTAATTGGTGAAATGAACAGCTTGTTTGACGAAGTGAGGTATGTATGTGCTCCCCTGTGAGCTGATGGCCTACTTTACAACATCGCCAGGAACCAGGAACAGTATTTATTTACTTTGGTGCCCAGGCATGCATGTGTGGACCTTGGCCAAATGCAGCCCATCTGAACTGTTTCAATGGGGAGCTGCTGAATCCCTGCTGCCCTCCGCTTGCTGGCCTGAGGGAAGCCACTGGTGCCTCTGCCACAGAGCTGCCTGGCACACCATCCAGAGAGGGCAGCTGGGGACTGCTGGTCACCTGACTATGATTAACACTCCCATCTGGGCTGTTCACATGCAGTTAAAGTGAAATGGGCCTTGTGAGTGACACCAGACAAATAGAAGCCCTCCAGCAAATGGCTCCAATAGGGTCTTCCTTCACCCTCCCTCATCCAATAGGGATTCTGGGATACGGAAGGCAAGGCCAGGGCCACATGCCTGCGATCACTAGTCCTCCAGGGAAAGCACTCAGAGTCCTCAGGCCCTATGGGAATGTGCTCTGAAGATGAGGCCTGGCTCTCTGCAGAGCCTTGCTGCGTTGTGGGATCCCAGTGTTGCCCCTATAGCTGGAAACTCAGTACACATGACAGCCCCCCAGGGCCTCTTGGCATTTTGCCCTCACCAGGGGACATGCTGGCTCTCCAACCAGCCAGCCCCACCTGGCTGTGCCTCCCCTAAGCCAGGACCTGCCTCCTTTTGGCTAGCGTCTCCTCCTTTCCCTCACCTCCACTGTGGCACAACAGTACCTCCGCTCGCTACCCAGCATGTGTCAGCTCTTGTCGCTTTCTGCTGCTGCTGTGTCCTGGAACAGCACTTAACCTTAGCCTGTGTCAGCTGCTGTCCACAGAAGCAGACAAGCCCCCAGCCTGCCTCCAGGGTAGCCCATGCCAGCCCTCGCACAGGGAGGGTGGCTCACTCAGATGTTTCAAGTTGGACGGGCACTTAGTGGCCAAACCCAAACATGATATTTTCAGTCTGAATCAGAGTTTATTTCCTTGTGACAGGGAGTTGGCTTGAGTGATAAATATACTTTCTTTAACCTGTTGGGCAGTAACCAGAGTTGGGTCATCAACACATCCTGACACTGGTTACTGGGCAGCCATAGGAGCTGAGAACTGCAATTTGCAGCTTGGGCATGGCTGTGTGTGCCCAGATCCCGTGGAGGGACACCCACTGCTGGGGACTGAAGGTCAGCTCACAGGGTACAGCATATTCCCAAAAAGCCCAGTGCTCTGGACTAAGCTGAACTACAGGCATCCTAAAGTCACCATACATAGGGAAACTAGGAAATTATAGTTTAGTGTGCCTTCATTAACAAAATATTGATTATAGAATTTTACAAAGAGGTAGCCAACATATACAGAATATTTTGTAAATATTTTGTAAAATTCTGTAATGAATGTGCATTAAGCTACACTTCCTATTTTCCCTATGTATGGCAACTTTAGGGGTGATTTTTGGGATACCCTGTGGTAAGTAGATGGTCTTCCTCTGCCTCCCTCTCTGCCCTCACCCAAGATGGTGTGCCCCCCTCCTAGTTTCACTTAGATGATTGCTTTAAAATGTGTAATGTTCCTGTTGGATAACCAAGTACTAATAGTTAATATTAATCTATTGATTTCTTCTTTTTATAAAGGCAAATTGAAGGGAAAGTGGTTGAAATTTCCAGACTCCAAGAGATATTCACAGAAAAGGTTTTGCAACAGGTAAAAAAACAAAAGAAAGTTTTAGCTGAAAGAGGGAATGTACTAAGAATTCAGGCTGCTCCTTCTGAAGGCATCTGGTGCTTCCTAGCTGGGGGCAGGTGTACACCTGCAGAGGTCCTTGAGGAAACCTGGCCCCAGCCTGGCCACAACCGTGATAACAGAGAGCACACAGGGGCATGTAGGAAGCCAGTGCAGGACTGGGAGTCAGGGCAGTCACGGTGCCCTGGGGTGAGCTGGGGCCCCTCTGAGCTGCACTTCCATCTGTTAAGTGGAGCAACTCTTCTGGGAGTGTTATAAGGCAGGGAGGTGAGCTGCAGAAGCCCAGCATGCTGTGGGGCAGGTGGTAGCTTCTCAGCAGTGTCACAGAGCTCACATTTGACCCTCACAAGGTGCTGGGTCCATGCTGCCCTGTGTCTATGTCTTCATGAGAAATGGGATTGTTCTCTTTAGTGAATTTTTGTGTTATTTCTGCCTGCCGATAGTTCTGAAATTCTTCCATCCAGTTAACTGGAAACATTTTTAAAGGCGTGAAAAATTTGCCCTTTTTTTTTTAACACCCAAAAACTGTGGAAAGGTTTAAAAGACAAGATGGGTTCTCTCCAGTGTGTTGAGGTGGGATTCTTCCTATACCACACAGAGACAGTCACTGTAAGTGAGGCACAATGAGTGTGGCAACAATACAGGAGTTCAGGTTCATTAGGGATGCCCTTTCCAGTAGCACCATAAAGGAAGGGTGCACACAGATGCAGGCAGAGCCTTGTTGAGAAGCCTGATGGCTGCCTTGAAGGTCATTAGTTCAGCTTCATGACCACTGGCTAAGGAAGCTGCCACAATCTCTCTTACGTGCAATGAGTTGCACTGGAAGTCAGAATTGTATCATTTCGGAGGTTCCTAGAGTCAGCACAGCTAAGTTGCCATTAACTCAGTGACTGTGGGTTTGTATGTGCTATTCCCAAGCCCTAGGACAGGACCGGCAGGCAGAGAAGAGCCCATGGTCACTGCCCTGCTTTAGCCACCCCAGTGCTTTCCCTGGGGGGGGATGCACAGAGCAGGCCAGAGCCTTGCCTTAGGAAAGGAGTTCTGAAACCAGAGCTGTGGCGTGTCTTTCTTGTTTTTTCTACCAGTTTGGCATAGTGCTCATATCAATTCTCTCACAGGAGCATGGGCAGTGGTCACCTGGCCTCTGCTTGGAGAGTCTCTAGAAAAGTCTGATCAGAGAGTGAAGCCCCCTCCCCCAATGGCCGTCTCCAGGAACCAGGCAGCTACAGGTGGCTTTCCTCCCTGCACTGTAGGCTTCTCTAGAATCCCACACTGGTGTCCATTCCCCTCCCTGGTACTCCATACTACCAGGAAGCAGCTTCCCTCTGCCAAAGGGATCGAGCAGCACTCCTACTGCGAGCCCGTCTTGCATGGACTGCGCCTATGGAATGCTGGGCTCTTTAGCTGGCGTCCTGTGGGGGCCGCTATTAAGCTTCCCGGTGTGTGGAGTAATACAGGTGCTGGGGTTTTCTGCAGACACCCTGCATCCTATTTTGATTTTTGTATTTCAGCCTATTTTTTAGAGATGTAATTATAAAACATAAAGCACTGTTTGTGAAGCTAGCATATATGTTTGGAAGCACCCAGGCTTTGACGCTTACTTCTGTGCACTTCAGAAAGAATGAGGTAGAGTCTGCAGGGAAAGCCATGGCGAGTGGCGTTGCCTCATACACAGTGACTTTTAGGTTTTTGACCTTGTCATCAGGCCAGTGACACAGGAGTGATAGCAGCTGGGGTAGAAGGAGCACAGGCACTGAGGCAGGCAAGGTTCTGCTACTTGGCTGCTGCGTGACTTTGGGCAAGTTGGTACACTTCTCTGACCCATAATTTTCTCTGTTATAAAGTAGAGGGGGACGATACCTACTTCTTAGGGTGCTGAGAGGATCTGTGGTCTATGCAGTTAAGCTCCAGCCCTTAGAAGGGGCAGCTGCTGTTTCTGTCATGATGTAAGCCTGGGGGGAGGAGGCTATGCAGGTGCTATGTCCCTCATCCAAAAGCCCAAGACCCCAAGTATTCCAAATCTGAAACTTTTTGAGTCCAACATGACAGTCAAAGGAAATCCTTGTTTGAGTTTGGATTTTCAGACAAGAGATCCTCACCCTTGTGTTCACCTAACACTCTTCTCTTCAACAGGAAGCCGAGATTGACAGCATCCACCAGTTAGTTGTAGGGGCGACTGAGAATATCAAGGAGGGCAATGAGGACATAAGAGAGGTGGGTGCTCTCTGCGTCTCAGGGTCTGACGGCACAGCACCTGTCTTGGCAGGCTGCTGGTCTCACCGGCAAAGCCCACAGGGCCAGCCCCGCAGCTGAGGCCATGGACAGTCCCAGCCAAGCCATGTGTGTTCACGAGACCCACTGGGCCACCTCTAGCCAGTTCAGAGGCAAAGGCTTACCCCAGTCTGAGGAGCCATCTGGGGAAATGGCAGGGGAATGCTCTTGGCAACGGTCAGGCCAGTGCCCTGAATAAAGAGGTGGGCGTCACCGAGGGGCCAGCGATTAGCGCTGTTCATGGAGGATCCCACAGGCCATCTCTACCCAGTGGGCTGTATCCCCAGCTCAGTGCTTGGGGTTGGGTTGCCACTGACACTGCAGCGCTAGGAAACACAAAACTGAGGGCCTACTCTGCTCTGAGCCTTTCACCCTGGGACAGAATCAGTGATCTCTGGGTGTTGTGCTTCCTGGGGGAATTGTGCAGGACCTCCAAATTGTAGCTAAGCAGCAGGGAAATACAACCTGTTTGTCTTCTGATGAAGCTTAAACCCACTCTCTGACTTTGCTTAATAATCAAGCTATCAATTCTGGGTAAGAATGGGACTGAGCAACATGCAGTGACAGCTATGACCAGGCTAGGGGTGGTAAGAATGAGCGTTACAGGATTGTTAAAACCATGGAATAAAAACACCTGTGCTCCTGTCCCTGCCCAGGCCATCAAAAACAATGCCGGCTTCCGCGTGTGGATCCTCTTCTTCCTCGTGATGTGCTCCTTCTCCCTGCTCTTCCTTGACTGGTATGACAGCTAGCCTGGGCCCTGCGCCACACAGCCAGGCTACAAATTGTGCGCTCTCCTTCATCTCTGACGCTGGAGCCTGTGGGGACCAAATTTTATCACAGAGCCATTTTGAGGGCAGTGGGGCCTGAGGCAGACATGTACTCCCACCAAAGGGACACCCAAAGCAGTGTGGTTAAGCCCATTTAGCAGCTGAAAAGGAAAACAATGCACTTAAGTAGCAAGTGGTCTTTGTGGTTGCCGGAAGGCAAGACAGTGAACAAGAAAGCCTACTGTGAACTGCACTGAACCGGGCTGCCTGGGCAGAGGGCTGCCCCAGGGGAGGGGCATAGCAGGCTGGAAACTCCCCAGATTGTCTCAGGGCTTAGAGGAAGTCACTGGCCTTTCTTGTCCTGGTAGCTTCAGGGAAGAACATGGTTCATAAGGCCTCTCCACAAATTATTACTTGTTTCCTGGGGTTTCTTGCTGCCTGAGTCAATCAATACACAGACACATTGTATCATAGGAAATTCACATTTGCCTTTGTTAATCTAATAAATACAATTACAGCCACTAATATATTGTTAGTGATTCTAAGTCTTAAGATTCAGTGGGGACCCACCCACCCACCTGGTGTCGGGGAGGAACTGCAGGGCAAACTGTGGCCCTCCAAGGTGGGCAGGGTGGGAAGCCTGGTTTCCTGCCACTGGGTCTGAGGAGCTTTTATTCAAAGAAGAAGTGGGCCAGGGAGAAATGGGGCCTGCCACTCTTGTGCCTGTGCCTCTGACCTGGGAAGCTTAACGGGGAACACCTAGGTGTAACTAAAAGCCCGAGATGTGTGGACTGCCTCTACAGGAAGCATCCTGGTGGCCATGTGGGTGTGAGATCACTGGTCCTGCTGCTGGCGGAATGTGTGCAGTACAGATAGTCCACAGGGCAGCACAGTATCTGCATGTTCTTTATTTGCACAGAGTTACATGTGAGTGATTACAGTCTATAGAGTACATGTCTACTAGAGAATACGTGTGGGGTCTGCCTTGGAACTGTGCTCCACAGCTCCGCCTGTTCATGTCTAGCTGGGCAGGACAGTGGGCATTGCCTTCCTGTTCTTTAGGTATCCCCCATAGCTTAGGACATCTTGTGGTACCCCCTCGGTGATGCACACTCAGTGTGCTGAGGGCACAGTCTGTATCTTATGTACCGGAAGCACATTTCAGACGACAGCTGTGGAGCTGACCATGACTACCATGCACACTCACAGCAGATCTCACACTACTTGTCGTTTATTTCTGATCTACTAAAAATACAGTGAAACTTCCGACATGTCCACCAGAAACAGCACATTCAAATAACATAGAAGAAACGCCGGTGAACGTCTTTTTTTGTATTTAATTATCTTACACACTTGTTTATCTAACCGGCAATTTTGTAAACATACAATTTAATGTCAAGATTCAAATGGAAACAATTTTCATACAAAGATTGCAGATTGAAATGTTGTCATTGCATTTGCACGGCGCCACACCAGCCCCCGCCAATCCTGCCTGCCTGCTTCTCACCTCAAGTTAAATCTGTTCACAGAATAAAAATTAAAGTAGCTCTGGCTTACCAGCAATTGCATTTTCACTTTTCCCACCCTGCTAAGTTTTTTAAACCTGACTTGCTAACAAGGCTGTTGCTGCAAATTTATTCATCATAATAAAAGTGAAGGAAAGGGTCAGTGGGATTCTGTCCTACCTCCCAGGGACTGGGCAGTTGTACCACCTCGCCAAGTCCCCTCCCTTACTCCAGCACAGTCTATGCTGGGGTGCCCCATAGCCATCTCCACCCAGCACTGCCCCCCTTATCAAGATGCAGAGCCAGCAGGGACCAAACCTTCTGGGGGCAGCAGTAACGTGCCTTGTTGCAGGGCTGTCCCACTCAGGAGTCAGCATGAAGGGCAGTGTGGATCTTTCTCCTTCATTCTCTATGCCCTTTACTACCATGGGCCCTGGCAGACAACTCTGCTCCAGCTGATGGCAGATGGGAAAGAATGTGAAGTACAGGATCGTGCTAGATGCAGCTGTGGAGTAAGGTTTGCAGATAGCAAGGTGGCTTAAAAAAATCAATTCCACAAAATGCATTATTTATCTGAAGTCCAAACCCTTGGCATATCCAGTGTAAATTTATTCTTTGACAGCATCCAATAAATCCCAGAAAAGGGGCAAAATTCAGATCTTAACATGAAAAGTGGTGTTGGAGCTCTTTAGGCAGTACCGATATGCCCATGGGTGGCCAGCAGCAAGTTGGATTTGCAAAGCAGCATTAGCAAACAGAAGCAGTTGCACCATAACCTCTAAATTACCAGTAATTCTATTTAATGAAATGTCCCACAAAGTCCCTTTGTTACCTTCAGGCGACACATTGTAAGGAACTTGCCCATCCCGCTAAGCTGATTTCTCTGCCGCTTCAGTCTCCTGTTCCGACAGCTTCTCTTCTGACAGAACTGACATCCAGGGCGACCCCGAGCGCGTGATGCTCTGCTTGGCCAGGTTGTAGTGATTTATGACCGTGTAAAATTTCTCCCGGGCGCTGGAGTCTTGCTCCGCATAGTAGCTCTCTAAGCCTTCTGGGATGCACTGGGTGCTCTGAAAGACAAGAAGCTACTGAGACCACACACCAGCTCAGGAGGATACCAGACTATGTCTCCAGTCACTGAGCACCTTCCCTGAGCTTGGAGCAGGAAAGACAGTGCGTGAAAGCAGGCAAGGCGCCTGCCGCAGAGTGCACAGCCAAGGAGAACCCTGGCCTTGTTCAAATCCAGACAGCAGGCTCTTTAACAAGTACCACGGCAAACTGGCACTCAGGCTCTGGGGGCTGGGTGCCACGTGACAGGCTTTCACTAAAGATCCTGCTCTTTTGATCATTTATTTGTAATCTGCTAGAAAACAGTGACACTTCTGACATGTCCATAAACAACTGATTCAGATGAGGAGGGAAGAGAAATAGAGTCTTCTCTTGACCTAGGTTCTCAGCAGCCCTTACTCACATGAGAGAGGGAAGCACTCAAGGCAAAGGGGAGGTGAGTGGAGAAATCATGGGGCAGGACAAAATGAAAGCAGGATGCTGCAACCAGAAGCAAGGTCCTAGAGCAGTGGTTCTCAACCTCACTAATGCCGCGACCCTTTAATACAGTTCCTGTGGGTGGCAACCCACAGGTTGAGAACCGCTACCCTAGAAGGAGGTATGAGGTGCATCTGCGGAGTCCTCAGAGGGTTGAGGTGGGGACAGTGCTGGGAGCCACAGAGCCAAGGGCCCCTGAGGTTGCATGTGAAATTTTGCCTGACGGGCCTTTTGCAGGAGACCAGCCCATGGCTGTAGTCAGCTTGTCAGGATTCTAGGACCCACAAAAAGTTACCAATCCTGCCCCTGGGCCTGGCTGCTTGTCAGCATCGGAGCAAATCCACCCCACTGTCATGGCTGACGTCAGCAGCCAGGCTCGGAAGTCAGCATGCTCACACAGCTGGCAGAGCCACACACCAGACCCACGACAAGGCACAGAGGCTGCGGTCTCCTTCCTCAACCTGCCCAGAGCTGAGCAGGGCATGGGCACCCCCACTACTGTGCACTTCTCAGCCTGGCCTATGGCAGGGTGAGGCTGGTGACTAATTTCTGGCTAATGGATTCAAGTGACCGTAACAGGAGCAGGTTCTGGACTGAGCCCCTTCTTGACTAGCTATGACCCTCAGAGGACAAAGCCTTGGAGGCTGGCTGGGCAGCAAGAGCTAGGGAATCAGGGCTCCAGAGTGGCTTTGAGGACCTGCATAGTCTTTCTGCTTGGACTTGAGCATGAGGATGATAAACTTTCCATCTTGTAGAAGCCAAGCAGCAAAGCACTACAGTGATGGCTAAGGGTCTCTATCAGCCAGGAAAGTGAGATTCAGCACCCACCGGGGCTCTCTGCCCTTAGCCACTGGCACAGACCCCTGGGAAGTTTTAAAACTCTAGGTTCTCAGCCCCTCTCCCCAAGTCTGAGTCAGCAGATCTGTGCTGTAGTAGTCTATATTTTTAAACATCTCTGTGATAAATCTGAGGCTCAGCTCCCCAAATCCAGCATCTCATCCAAGGCCACCTTGCCAGTAAATGGCAGGGCCCACAGCAGACGGTTTCCACCCCACCACTGACAGTGTTCAGTCAGCTCCCGACCTAAGCAAGTGCAGTATGAAGAGTGACAGAGCTTTCTTTGATGACTCTAGGTCCTGGGCAACCTCAGGCCTTCCCTGGGCTGGCCCCTGGTGGCTGCTAGGACATGCCTGAGCCTGGCCATGGCACACCAGGGAATTGCTCCTCCTCCCCACCTAAGTGCAGGTTGTTCTCAGCCTCTGAAGCTAAAGGCAGGCACCCAGGCATCCCAGCGAGGGGCCTGCTCCGAGGCTATCCTCTGGGTCCTAGGCCCAGCTCCCCTTTCCCTGGTGGTGAAGAAAAAGAAGCCAGGGCTTCTTCACACGTCCACACTTCCCTCCTGATGTCATCATGGTAACCTTCCATGGTTACATTCCATTAATCCATTTTTCAAGAGGGAGGTGCAACCCAGAAAGGCAAAGCTGCTTTCCAAGGTCACAAAGGTGATAGTAGGAACCACAGCTGCAGCCTGGGTCCAACTGGAGCCCCCCACTGCCTCATGCCCTCCCACCCTTGTGAGGTCCTTCCAAGACTTCCCACGCAACCCAAGAGCGAGCAAAGGAAGGCCTTGCAGTGAGCTCTGCTGATAGACCAGTGGGCAGAGCTGTCCTTTTCCAAAATTGACCTTGGCCGCCTTCAACTCAGCCAGCATTCACCAAGTACCAGCTGGGCAGCACGCAGACCTCCGGGATGGATGCAGCATTTCCCACCACTCACTGGGGGCTTCACAGGTTTACATTCAGCACTCAAAGGCAGCTGCTCCAGGGCTCACTGTGCAGAGGGGATGAGCTTAGGGGGCCTGGCCTGCCAGGGAGAGTCACAGCAGCATCTGGAAGTGGGGTAAGGCCACAGTTTCCACCAGCCAGGGCCATCCTGTGCACCCTGGGGACTCAGAGGCCACTCTAGTGCACAGACCTGTTAAATGCTGCCTGGTTGCTGCTTGGGGACAGGAGCTGAGAACGCAGGGGGCAGGCCATTTGTTGAGAGAGAGAAGGGTGATTGTAGTCATAGAATAGCTTCCATTTGAGCAGATTTAGAGGGCTGAGTGTCTTGTTTCTTTTTTCTCCGAATGAGCACTCTCTCTCCATCTGAGTAGTTCTTACCACAGGGCCTGTTGCGTCTCCAGGAAAAGAAGCGTCAGGGTGAGGTTAGCAGGTGGGTGCCTGGCAGGTTTCTACTCAGGCACCAGGATGACCTGGAGCAGCACAATACCCTCAGGCCATGAGGCACTACTGTCTCCTGTCTTCCCCTTGGCCTTGACTCAGAAAATCCAAGCTGGTGTTGTACCTGCACCAGGGAGTGGCAGGCCTGTGTTGTCCTCTTCAGAGGGAGGGTAGCTGCTGGCAGACTGATGTGATGGCTCATGGCCCAGCACCCGGCACATAGCCACTAGGTGGTCGGTCACTACTGGGGTCTGGGAACATGGTGAGTGGTGGAGATAGAGTAAAGGTTGGAGGTGTTAGGGAACACTCAGAAACTTGCAGATGTCTGTCAGCAGTAGACACAGGCAGCAAAACCACATGGCCCACTTTCTGTGGCTCAGGACTGCCCTGGGAGTTGTCCCCAGATAGATTGCTGTAGCTCCTGCCTCTCCTCTCCTCCCAGGCCAAGGGCTCCATAGCTACCAGCTTAGTGAGTCTTTAAGGGATCAGCCCCTGAGGCCACCCTGCCTGTGGAGAATTAATTCTTCTTGCCCTCTCATTGAACCCTGAAGTGGAGAGAGCAGAAGTGTCTGCAAGCCCCCTGGGAGCACAGAGCTGTTTTCTGAAGAGAAATGACAAAGGGATGGATGGAGGGTGCTTGTCACGAACACTGCCCCTTGCCCAGCACCTTAGGAGCTGACTGGCAGAAGTGGCTTAGCTGCCGGCTGGAGTCCACCATTCCAACGAGGTCACTCAAGGGGTGCTTTCGCCCTGCACCCCAGTCTCCTCATCTATAAAATGAGTAAATGAGTCACACTACCAGGTTGCCATGATAATCTGAGCACAGTAGGGGCTCAGGGAAGAGGCCAGGCTGTGACTGTGCCTGCCCAGCAGACAGAGAGGCTAAGCCACACAGGGCCCCACTCATGTTCCATCTAGTCAGTCCCACCTGGATGCTGGGAACCCCCTGACATTCTGCAGAGCAAAGGGCCCCTCAGACGCACGGCACAAATGTCCCTACCCAGCCAAGCTCTGGCCAGCTGCACTGCCCCTCCCCTTCACACCCCCTCCACCTGCTGCTCCCTCCTCATCCCTCAGCAACATGGCAGGGACCACGAGCTGCCCCTCCCCAGTGTCCGGCACAGAGCCCAGCATCAGGAGATGGCTCAGAAACATAGTGCCCAGCTGAGGAACAAAGGCAGGTGGGGTTCCCAGATGCCTCCTACTCCCTACAAGGTGGCTGCAGAAGATAGTGCTGGGGAGAAGCCCTCGGGGCTGATGGTGGCAGGCCCTAAGGACTCACAGAGGGCTCCCAAGTCGCAGGCTCTGCTGAGTAAAGGGACGTGAGGACTGTAAGGCTCCCTGAGAAGCTCCTGGCCAGCCTCGACTCAGCCCTTCCTTAAAGGGACTCTAATACAGAGCCACAGGTCACCTGTGGGTGTCCTCAGGGAGCAGTGGACCCAGCTGGGCCTGGACATTACGCTTTGGGGGGAGGTTCCCAAACTCACTCCCATGTGACTGAAGCTGACAAGGGTCCTGCCTCGTGGGCTGGGAGGACGGGAGGCAGCTAAGTGAGCGCCTTGCAGCCGCCGACAGGTGTAACACGTGCTGCCTGCATCTGGGATCCACTGCGAAAAAGACTGGCCAATGTAGAAATGTGGTGGCCATGGCAGTCCCTCCCTTTGTGTTTAAAGCTTTTCTGTAATTTATAATAATGTCATTTTTGTTTTTAAAAAGCAGAGGTGGAAACCCAGTGTGTCCTCCAGCATAAGTCAGCCTTCTTAAAATCCTTTCATGACAGCTCTCAGCCTGGGGCCTCTCAGGAGTGGCCAGTGGCAGCAGCTGCCCATCAAGGGCCCTTCCCTTCCCCCAGCCACCTGCCCTCCAAACACTGCAGGCGCTAAACAGACCAAGGAACTGAAGGCCGTGACCTTGGCCACTATGAAGAGCCTGTGCCTCATTTTCCCACTGGTAAGTGGGGACAGCAGATTCTACCCCCACAGTGTTCCATGAGGTCCTGACATGAAAGCTCCTTGTGGAGTGTGATACATGCACAGAGGTGGCAGGACAAGAGAGGGAGATGACTTAGGTGAGCTCTCCCCTCTCCTTTCTCTAGCTTCAGCCAAGGACAGCTGGGTACAGTCCAGCCCTCCCAGATGAGTTCTCAGAAAGGATGCCCCCCCCAATACAATACAGTGGAAAATGCCACAGTCCCAGGAGATGCAGCCCCAGTGCAGCCCGTGAGGGCACTCCAAGATCCCAAGACCAGCTGTGCACCAGAGCCACTGTGGGGTCTTTTAACAGCAGACGCCTGACCCTCTCCGTGCTGCCAGCAGTCTGACCTGTAGCCCAGCTCAGGACCACAGTCACCTCCTGGGCTGTCACCCACCTGGACCAGGCCATCTAGTAGGACTTGACCACCCCCTCCAGCACACAGGGAACTTGCGCCAGGCCCCAGAGGAAAGCTACTGGCCTCAGTGGGCAGTTAGTTTGGGTGGGGACTTCTGGCCCCCAGGTAGTTGTCCTCCACATATCCAGGTTCCCATAGAGGGCACCACTCCTGGGGGCCTCTGCTCCCTCTCCATGACATCAGCCTCTCCTGAGTCATCCACTCTGGACCAGGTCTTCCTTATCCAATCAACCTTCCAGTCTGCTGCCATATTGTTCTCTCCTCTCCATCCTGAGAACTCTGACCTTCTCTTCCTGGTCCCCTGCAGCAGCCTCCTAGGTCAGTCATCTTTCTGTCCCCTCCCCCCTTCCAACCTCCAGCCTCCCCAGGTGACCCAGGGGGTGGCCATCACCCCCTTCCCATAGGGCCTCTGTTTGACACTCAGGATGGCCCATCTCACAATGCCTCCCTGTCCCTGCAGCCTATCTCTACCTGCTCCATCCATACTCTGTGTTCTCCAGGGTCTGCTCAGAGCACCCTCTGGGTCAGGGCCAGTCCCATCAGCCCTCAGTCTCCACTTCACTTGCTTCAGAGCCCTGGTGTCATCTCAGCCTCTGGACAGACTCACCCAGGGCATGGATGGGGCTCGGTGAAGGCAGCACTAGTAAAGGGGTGGGGGGCCCCCTCTTCTGGTGACCCTTCCCAGAGACCTGCAGATTCCCTTACTCCCCCCATGAGGCTTTGCTCCAATACCACTGGTCTAGAAACTACAGCCCCCTGCTGCCTGCCTACTCTCCTGAGCCACCTTCCCTGTGATGAGCACCTCACTCCATACACAGCAGAGGTCAGGCTCCTTCTGAGAAGGCAGGGACCTCTCAGGGCAGGGCTGGTGCCTGCCTGGCTCTCAACTGTGTCCCAGCAGCAGCAGCAGGAGCTGGGGCATCAGGAGGCACCAAACCAATGCTGGCCAGATGGAGGAAGGGCCAAACCGTCAGAAGCCCTGAAGGTCAGCAGGACTTGGAAGGAGGAAACTGTGGATTCCAGTCTTTCCTGCTAAATTGGGCAAGGGCACTGCACCCTCACCTGGCAGGAACAAAACCCAGATCTGACAGCCGGGGGAGGCAGACAAGGCAAGCCGGCCTATGTGTGCTCAGTCCCAGACACTTTTGGAGGCTCCCGTGTGGTTTTAATTTTATCTATGCTAAATCCCGGAAACGATCATTTCACATGGGCTCTGGAAAGTTCAGACCAGATCCTGAGTGTATGGGGCATGGGAACTCACGGCAAGGGCATGACACTGGCACACGCCGCAGTGACACTTTGGTGGGCTGAATATGCAACGGTGAATCCTCACAGCTCAGCTGAGAAATCCCTGTCACCGCAGCCATCAGACTCCACAGTGCAGTGTGTGGCCCGTGCTTGTGTAAATACACCCACTCTACCAGCCATCTGGAAGCTTCCACGGGCAGCTGGTCCAGCTTGATGAAGACAGTAATGACTGTGTCACCATTCTGTTTATTCTTCTCCTCGTTATTTTAAAGTGTCCTCCTGCTCATGTAAAAACACAGCTGTGAGATGGCCTCAGGCAGCTCCTTAAGCACAAGAGATGACAGCTCCTGTGTAGGACTGGCCTGAACCCCTTCCAGTGGGACAGGTGTCGAGGCAGAGACAGCAACACTGACGATCCTGACCCTGTGTAAGTCAGCTAATGTGTGTGTTTGTGTCTTTGTTTTTAACAAAAAAGTTTAAAAATTGAAAAAAAATTAAATAGAAAACACTCAAGAGAATAAAGATATAAAGAAAGAAAGTATTTTTTGTACAGCTGTACAATTTGTGTTTTAGGCTAAATGTTATTACCAAAGTGACAAGCTTTTAAAAACTAAAAAGTTTATAAATTAAAAAGTTACAGTTAGTGTTAATTTATTGTTGAAGAAGGAAAATTTGTATGTAAATGTAGTGTGGCCTACGTGCCCAGTGCATACAGGTCTACAGCAGTGCACAGTGATGTCCTGGCCTTCACAGCCACTCACCGCCCACACACTGACCCACCCAGAGACTTTCAGCCCCACAAGGTCTATGAACAGGGTGTGCCCTCTCAGTTGTCACTGTTCATCTTTTACACAGTGATTTACTGTCCTTTTTTATATTTAGAGTTGTTTATATACACAAATACAGCAGAATCTCTGTAAGTTGACCACCCAGGAGACTGTAGCAAACTAGTCAGCTACTAGTCAAGAGGTGGTCACCATAAGAAACTAGGCCCACTATGCTGATGCACACCTGGGGTGCATGCCACTCAATGAAAATTAAGCCAACTTAGGGAGGTGATCAGTGCAGGGAGGGGCAGCTGTGAAGGCTCCCCTGTACTTACCCATGGTGTGACAAGTGCCTCCCGCACCTCTGTGCAAGTGTATCACTGAAGAGCAGAAGGCCATACCACACACCAGGGGCCAGCCATGTGGGTCACTGAG